CTTTCGGGCCCCTGAAATTGTCGTGCGACGTGTGGGGCTGAACCGTCGGCAGGGCGGAGCTCTTGACAGCCCGGGCGGCAAACTTCAACGGCCGCATGCGGCACCCCCGGATTTACGCCGGGAAGGCGGTTGAGAGACGGACTCCTTTTGGTTGCGCAGGCTTTCGTGCCTCTCGTCATTCTTCTTGGGAGAAAATCGGCTGCTCTGCGGGCACTCGGGACACCGCGCTGTTCGTGCCCTGCTGGATTGCGTCCTCTCATTTCTTTTTACGGTTGCCGTCTGGCGGCGCGAGAGTGGCTGTGACGATGTGCCCGGAGATGTGAGGAATGGGCGTTGGCGCGGGGATGAGTGGTGTCGATGGCTGGAGCAGCCCACCGCATAGCCAATCGGGTTTTGTGTGTGTGTGTGTGCTTGTGTTGACAAGAGACATGTTCTTTTTTCCCCTTCACTTCCTTTTTTTTTCCCGGTCTATTTCCTCACATTCTGTGGAATTGAAAGGGAATCAACCCGATTTTTTTGTTTGCTTATGAGCACAGTGGGCCCTCATGGTTTTGTCATCATTTATTTGCTGTCTGTTTCTTTACTTCTCCTTTTTTGTCATGTGGTGTCGGTGGTGTACAGATGTCTTCATGGGAGCTTCAGTTGCTGGAGGTGCTTGAGCGGTACTCAATTGGTCACCTCATTGGAAGATTTATGGACGCCGGAATGTCGTGTGATGACCTCTTGTCACTTCACATTGACCAGTACCGCAACTACGGCGTCACCGATGATGAGAAGATCCATTTGTACCAGGCAATACAGCACCTTCGACGGGAGGCGAATGGGAGAACAAAGCCCTCGTCGCCTGAGGATTCCCTGATGATGATGCCAACGTTTTCAGTAAGGCCAACAATGTCAGCAGACATAGATGAACTCTCGGACGAAAAGGAAAGCAGGGAAAGGCAGTACACAGAGCGCGGCACGACGGTCTTAACAAAGTCCGCCGACAGTCGGGAGATCAAACGGCGTAAAAGCCGCATTGTCGTGGCAGTTCGAAAACGGCCCTTGAACCTTGCTGAGTCACAGCGTGGCTTTGCAGATGTGATATCGACGAATAGCCTGGATGAGCTTGTGCTTGCGGAGCCGCGCCAGAAGGTGGATCTCACAAAGTACACGCATACGCACCGGTTTTTCTTTGATGAAGTTTTTGCGGAAACGGCCACGAACGCCGATGTGTACCGTCGCACGGCCGCCACATTAATCGACACCGTCTTTGAGGGCGGGTTTGCCACGTGCTTTGCGTATGGGCAGACAGGAAGTGGGAAGACGCACACAATGTTGGGGAGCGGAACAGAGCCTGGTATTTACGCCCTCGCCGCGGAAGAAATGTTCGCCCGCATTGACAGTGGCAAAGATCTTTACGTGTCTTTCTATGAGATATATAGCGGAAAGTTGTATGACCTGTTGAATGGACGTCAGTCGCTGCGATGCCTTGAGGACGGCAAACAGAACGTAAACATCTGCGGGCTGACGGAGCACCTTCAAGCAGACGTGCGTAGCATCATGCGACTTATTGAGGAGGGAAACCGCATCCGAAGCAGCGGCACGACAGGCGCCAATGACACAAGCTCTCGTTCCCATGCCATCCTCGAGATCAAGGCCCGTGGACGCGAGGACAAGAAGTTGTTTGGCAAATTTACATTTATTGACCTTGCCGGGAGTGAGCGGGGCGCAGACACGCTGGACTGCGACCGTCAGACACGCATAGAAGGGGCGCAAATCAACAAGAGCCTGCTGGCACTGAAGGAATGCATCCGATCGCTTGATCTTAACCGTCGCCACGTTCCATTTCGCGGGTCGAAGCTGACGGAAGTGCTTCGAGACTCGTTTGTAGGCAACTGTCGTACCGTCATGATTGGTGCGGTGTCACCGGCGAGCAACAGCTGCGAACACACCTTAAATACATTGCGTTATGCGGACCGCGTAAAGGAGTTGAAGAAGAGCATCGGGGAGCGGCGACCCATTGAAGAAAACGAACAGAGTGAACTTCTCTTTGAAAGGAAACCGCCCATGCCTGCAGCACGTCCATCCATCAACGGCCGACTTTCCACACCACCAGTGAGTGTGGTGAACCTCCCTAATAACAAGAACGGCAACAAGAGCAACAGCAAGGGCGGCGGTAAATGCAAGAGCAACGGCGCCAACTTGGCTGCGTGGAAAAGCGAGGGAAGTCGGCGCTCAGGAGTGATGCGTCCAAGTGGTCTTTTGCCTGCCAAGGCATTAGAAACCAATCATGGCGAAATTGGTTACAAGCGCGGCCGAGAGTTTGATGACCAGCAACAACAAGCAGAGATGTTGGCACGAAAGAGCGTGGACCTGGACATTGGGGTTCGCTACGACAGGGTAGTGGACGAAATTGTCAAGCTGGAGCACGTGTGTGTGCAGACCCATCGTCGTTACTTGGATGAAGACATGAAAATCATTAAAGAGGAATTTGCGCAGATTATGTCGGTGGAGATGCCGAACTCGGATATTGATGCATACGTAACTAACGTTCTTAACCTCCTCAATAACAAACTGCAGGCTATCCATCAGTTTCAAGGGGAAATGTTGCGGCTGCGGAGTATGCTAGACGAGGAGGAAGCGCTCTCTCGTCAGCTGGAACAGAGTGGGCAGTAGAAGGAAACACAAAAAAGACCGACGGCCAGACAGACAGAGACCAAATGAATGGAAGAAGAAAAAAAAAGAAAAAAAAAGAAAAAACGCACGTACACAATGAAGTTGAAGTGTATATATACATACTATATACATATAAAAACATAAGGAAAGGGAAATGGGATCCCCGATTAGAATGCGCCCATGGCAGAAGTGAAATGTACCTACAAGCACACACAATAAATTAGAATTGGTTTATTTTTCCTCGTCTTTTTCTTCTTCTTCTTTTTCGCTAGATGTACCTGCGGTATATTTGGTTACCACAGTTTCTCTTATTTTGTATTTTAGTTTTCTATGTGTGGGCTTTTTTTTTTCTTGTTGTTGCTTTTGTTTTATTGATGAAAAAAAAAGAAGGGGAGGGGAGGGAAACCACTGAGAAATATGAATTCATGAGTATGAACGCATTTTAACCTTTCCCATAGACTGTATGCACAGCTACCATTACCCCCTTTCTCTCTCTTTCTCTGTGTGTCCATCCGTGTATATGTATATATACATGTATGTTTCCTGTTCTTGCCTCGGTTATTTATTTATTATTATATTCTATTTTTCCCCCTTCTCCTCTATCTCCCACCACACGTACATACTTATATATATATATATATATACAATGGAGGGGGAGGACAGGGGCGGTTGATGGTGTAGGAGCATGAGAGATGTTTCGACGCAGTACTTTTCATTTTGATAATGGGTCCGCGGTTACGGGTGGTCCTGTGCAAGGTTTGCACAGTGGTCTACGAAGCATGATTCAGCCTTGTATAGCGGAAAATGTGTTACGGGAAACGGCGGAGATCCGGCGGAGAATGGCCGCTGTGGTAGAAATGGACACAATTGATGGCAAGCCAGCCTACGAGCCGTCACTTCCGCGTCAGTGGGTAAAGGCGCCTCTCTCACGCCTATCGACATCCGCATCTCGCCGAGACTGGTTTCGGCTCATGCAGTTTAATATGATGACCGACGCGTGGAGCCCGGGAGGAAATGCAAACGCCACAACGACACCGGTTCACGGTGTGCAGGCACGTGTGCCGGGCTTCACGCGAACTGGGGCGGATCCGGATGCGTATTACCCGTATGACCCTTCTGTCGACAAGGAGCTGCCACCCTTCCTTCAACCAGACTTCCGGCGAGCGTATTTGGTAAACGAGATAAGATATTATGATCCGGACATTGTTTGTCTGCAGGAGGTGAACCGGGTGTTTTTTAATGATGTACTGTGGAAGTATATCCGGTACTGCGGGTATGGCACCTTGTACCAGTCGAGCCGAGGCTACAAAGTTCGAGCACTACGTCGAGGTGACAACCCACTGCTGCCGCGACACAAGGGCAAGATTGAAGAAGCGGAAGATATTGGAAATGTGGTGTTATTTCACAAGGGACGTTTTGTGCCCATTCTCATGCCTGGAAAGGATTTGGTGCAACATCTACACTTTGCCCATGTTGTCGCCATGCGAGACAAGATAACCAACATGACACTGAACGTCGTCTGCGTTCAATATACCGCCGGAGAATCAGAGGAGGCAGCAAAAATTCGTTTGCATGAGGCACGACAAACACTGCAGGTTCTTGATGCTCTGAATCGCAATGACACCGACCGTGCACACATGTCTAATGTGATTTGTGGCGACTTTAATAACGTTCATGACGAAGAAGCCTGTGTGCAGTTGATGCGAGAACGCTTCTTTTCTATGCACGATGTTGTAGGGGGACCTCGATGGACCACGTGGTTTCACGAAGATGCGCAGACCTCTGCCAAGTATCAGAAGTACTATGCACGCAACCGTGACTGCTTCGAGGAAACTGACGCCTCAAAGCGGGCAGAACGCGAAGTGGCCAAATACACGAGAAGACCGATCGGCGGCCAAAACGGTGGTGGGAAAATGGTGTCAGCAATCAACTCGGAGGCGGAGAAGGCACCGTGCGGTGCTAAACCTGCCGTGGGGCAAGAGGACGACTGTGAAACGCAGAAAAAAGAGGGGAATGAAGCGACGGCGATGATGGTGGAAGAGGAGCGGCAGGACGCGCTGGCATTGCGAAAACAAACCCTGAAAGCGAGTGGCATCATTTATCGCACGCAGGACTTTGTTTTCTACGAACCCCAGACACTAGCACTCCATCAGGTGTTGGATGTGCCAGAGGAAACGCACATCAACGAACAGCAGTTGTTGCCGTGTGGCAAACATCCATCGCACCATATTCATCTTGTGGCGGATGTCTCATTCACGGATGTGTTTCCGGATGTCGCCCTGAAATCCCTAAAAGACTAGTGGTTGCAAAAGGTACGACAACTCGGCGATATATATATATATATGCACTACTTATTATGGATACATCTCTCTCTCTCTCTCTCTCTTACTTTCTTTGTGGATCATATGTTTTGTTTCTATTTACTTTGCATTATTAACTATTCTTGTTTGTTTCTCAGTGGTTACTCTCCCTCTCTCTTTTGCACAAATAGTAAAGCGACGAAAAAGGCAGGAGGAAAGGGGCTGTGTGAAGAGACAGTCACAATGAATTATACTCAAGCAGGCAAAATGGGCCATTGGAAGCGGCCCACTGAAGAACAGCGGTGGAACCTCTTGGAGGAAATCTACGCCAATTATGAGGAGGTCAACGCACAGCAGCAGGAAATTGCCAAGCGGAAACGTGAGATGGGCGCGGAATTGCTTGATGGCAATCAGAATAAAATTTTTCGGATTCTTTTCAGTGAAAACCCCTCCAATACCGCTCGCTTCGGGGATTGGGACACGTACGAGAAAATAGAGCAGACGCTGAAGAAATTTGTGTATACTCGCGGTCAGAATGTTTCCAGCGAGGATACAAAAGAGGCGGCCCTTAGTGAGCAAGTTGACAATTTAAAAAACATTCGTGCAGAGCAGAAAAAACGCATTGCGTCGCTAGAAGTATCGCTGGCATCCGCGCAGGAAGAGTTGGCAGGAGTCATGGATATGCTGCGGCTCAAGGACAAGGAGATTGCAAAAATGAAGCGGTTTTTTCTTGTGAAGCAGCTGAAGAATTCCCAAAAGCTGCGGGAGAATGAGGAGATGGATCCCGAGGATCCTTCTGCGGCGAAAAGGAAGGAAGTTTATGAAGACATGCAGGCAATTATTGCAGTTAATAAATCCATTGAAAAAGAGAATGCGCGACTACGCAATGCGTTGAAGGCGAAGGATTTCTTTGAGTGGGTTGACACCAGCGATTCCGCTGCAGCAATTAGGAGATCGGCCCGTGGACCGGCCTACGGAGAGCAGAAGACCAACAGCAGCAGGGCCAGCTCCTTTGTCAATGATGACAGAAGAACAAGCATGTCCCCCGCTGGAAATTCACCTCGTACACGTACCCCAGGCAGTCCGCGGAGGCAGGTGGGGGGATTATTCGACGCGAAGGACCTGCAATCCTCCAATAAAAATGGCAAGCAAAACAACAAAACGACAACCCAAATATGTGACACCGGCCACGCGGGCAGCAGCCAAAAAGCAAACAGTGGGGTATCAACCGATGGAGTAGAAGCAGATGAATTGAAGGGAGATATTCCTTTGGAGTCAACGACTGGGATTCAGCGGCGCACCAGTGTACTCTCCCGATCAGAGAGCGGCGTCACGACGTTCAGCAACGAAGCTGCGGACTCGAATACACTTGCAGAACCTGAAGCGAGAAAAAGATATATTCAGGAACGAGCTCCCATGACTGGTCTGCTCATGAGGCTTCACGCGGAACGTATGATGTGGAAACGCCGACTGGAAGCTGAAATAGCCAACGCCATGTCCCTTCTTGACTATGATTCCTACGTGGGGCACGCTGCCAATCATGAATCAATACAGGACTCTGTTGGTCCTAACGTGTTAAGTTTGGCAAAATTTGAAGTTGGGACTTCGAACCAGTCTGAAAGTGCCATCCATCTTTATTCCTCTAAAGAAAGCCTTGACAGTCACGGAATGGAATTGCTGCTGGATTCTTACCGAGGGAATACAGCAAATCCGGAAAATGAAGCTTCCCTGCCAAGTGCAGGCGACTTGAATGCAGCAAATTTAGGAGATGGCAATGTAAATGACACTATGGAAGAGAGCAAAGGCCGTGAGAGCTCAGTGGGCTCAGCAGAGGACGAGACATCCCTATCGGATACGAGTAACCAGACGAAAAAAAAGGCAAGAAGTCCTGAGGCGCTTGATTCTGAGAGCGCGGCAAAGTCAGAGATCCAAGTGTTGCAACATGCGGATGTTTTTGAGCCTGCGTCATTTATTGAATCTTCTGCAATTCTTCTCTCACAATCTGGTAAGGAGGATGGACAAGACCGTGTATCGGCAGGGGACATCTGTAGTGACTTGAATCATGAAAAAAATGTTGTGTTATCCCCCGTGTCGACAGCAGAGGAGGAAGTGGTGGTGACAACCCGGAAGGAAACACCTAAGGGTGCATCCATGGTTCCTCTTTGGTCCTCTGGTGACGAACGGAAGGCGAAACCAGTTAATGAAACCTCCGAATGTTTGACAATTGGTAGGGCCTCAGCAAACACTTTCACTGATGACGAGCAGCAGGGGAAGAAAAATGCAGCAAATGAAGAAAAGTCAGAGACTCGTAAAGGTCTGGTAGGGCACCACGATGCATTTCGTGTGGTAAAGATGGAAATGAAGAGAATTCGGGATGAAAATCAATTTATGCGTTCTGAAATGGATAAATATTTCTCTCTCTTGGGCCAAATTCTTAGCATGTTGCGAGAACGTGACGGACAGGTGGAACAGACTATCGAAGCTGAAAGCGCAGCATTTGTGTCTGGAATGGCGGAAGATGTGATAAGGGAAATGGTGGAGCAGCGCGTGTTTGAGGAACTTGAGAAGCACGGTGTAGCCCTCCAGCGGTATTCAGGACACCCCTCTACCCTGACTGATGAGGAATGGACGCAGAATCAGCTTTACAACGCCATTGTGAATTCAGCACAGGAAAACATCGCCAAGGCACTCTTTCAGCGAAAGGGCAAACGCGGGCAAAATCGTGAAGCTCAAAATGCCCCTTTTGGACGCCCCCGGCCGAAGGCTCAGGGATTTCAGCCGTCACCAGGCTCACTTCATAAAGCTGCGGTTCGGATCACGGAAGCCGATCCTGGTGCAGGAAAGAAGGTAAATAATTTGTCTCCCGGGCATCCTTCGAAGATCGATTCCACGGTTGGGGTGCCCAATACTGAAATGAGCTCCATGATGGCACCCCAACCCCCTCCAAAAAGAGACTGGAGGGAGGAGGCGGGGGAAAACGATGAGACGGCAGGAACCCCAACAGGTGCCAGCGACACGCCAAGTGTAATTCGGCGGAAGGCATGGATGGATCGTTTCGCCGCGGACAATGGAAGCATCGATGAAGAAGATGAGGAACGATATACGGGGGTCAATCCCCTCTCATCGATTGGTTCCGCGGCATTCCCGCACGAAAGGGGAGGTCGATGGCACACGGACCTACGTTCTCGTCTTTTGCCGCTTAGCCGTGGGACTTTTCTAGGCCCTCTTGGCCAAGAAGGCTTGAGAGGATATTCAGGTTTGAGCCGCGACACTGTTCCTCAACCGAAACATTTTGAAGGAAATATTCTGGAGTATCTGCGGAAACTCCAACCACGTAAAAATTTGGGCGATACAGAGGACATGGCTCCAATAGTGTATCGATACGATATTCAAACTGCTCTTTCTAAGATGAGACTTGAATTTCAGAAGAACGTTCGTTCCGCGGCTGCAAAACTGCGAACACCATTCTTTGAAGATGCCTTCAGACTCAACATATTACCTTACGCATCTGCTGCAAAATCTCTCCAGAATGGTCACAGGATGACGCCTTGGATGTTGGCAGTCATTCGGCAGCTAAGAATTGAAGAAGAAAAAAGAAATCAAAAGATGAGACGTTTTCTCTTTGGGAGGGTTGCGACAAATTTGCGTGCAAGGCGTCTGCTAAATAGTAGCATCTGTCGAGGATCCGCATTTGCTTCCTATTTGATCGTTTTGTGGGAAAAGTGGCTGGATCGCTGGCAGAAGAAGCGCGCGCGTATGCGACAAGAGGGGGAAGCCGATTTGAACCGCGTTTTGGATATGATAGCAGCTAACCTAAGATGTCGACAAAGGCAACAAAAAGAAGAGGCACGGCATTTGAAGGATATGAAGAACCCGCTTCTTGACCCAAGCAGCTCGCACTTCAGGGAAGTGCATTTTACCCCCAGGCATTAAGTGAGCCCTAGAAATATCAAAGAGTTCTATCTCTTTTTCATTCGCCCCCTCTCCCCCTCTTTGTATGTATATGTGAGAGTGCCTGACGCATTTTAAACCCGTTGGATAGGGCGGCGGCAATGTATACATGTGTATTTATTTATTTATTGTCAGCTACTGTGATTTGTACCGCTTTCCCTTGTTTTGCTTTTTAATTTCGCCGGAAAAAAAAAAATTTCTTTATTAGGAAACTAGAGAAGAGTGTTTTATCTTTTTTACCGTTGCTTTTACCAAGGACGCGCTACAAAAGCATTCGAGCCTTTTTCCGGCGCTTGCCGCCCAGGTGCGCAAAAAAGCTGCGGCAGCAAGTGTCACAACCACGCCCCAGCGATACGCGGCTGTTCCAGGCGCTGGTTATCCGTCAGCCAGAGGTTCAGTCGGTCGTGCAGCCACCTTCCCTTAAAATTCAGCGGGTGTGTGAAGAGCATCACACGCATTCCTTCGATGGTCACGGCAGTGAAGCTGCTCTGACTGCCGGGCTGGTCCGATTTTGGTGAGGGGCCCCACACACGCGAGAGCGTGCCGACAGCCTCCACCCACGTATTCCCCATGTCACCGGACTCGTACACCAGACGGCGTGCCCAGTCAACTCGGGTGTTTATGATGAGCTTCCCCTCCCACTCAAGGGCCACAGGTTCAGAGCAGCCAAAATCGCTCCTGCCCTTCCCAAACTTCCACGTCTTGCCCTCGTCTTCCGAGTAGAAGATCTTGGAAAAAACTTGCTTCCTTTTGTTCGTAACCTGCACAGGGTACACAAGATTCCCGTTGGACGCCACAATGGCAACACCCGCACCGCCAAGAAATTGATTTGTGTGCATTCCTTCCATTTCTGCCGGAAAAAACTTCTTCAGTGA